TCGCCCTGCCTCCGCGGGGATTTTCTAGGGGGTGGGACGCGGCCCCGGGGGGCTAGGGTCAGTTGGGCATGGCCGCCTCCAGTTCCGCCCTTTCCCGGGGGTTGCTCTGGTCCTCGCGGGGTGCGCCCATCTGCCGCAGTGTTGACGTTCCCCCATCAGTCTCTATGGAGACAGAACTCGGTGGCCCGCGGATTCCCCCAACTCCCTGAAGTTTCTAGGACGACGTGGGGCCCACCTCCACCCCCAGCTCCCCTTGAAGCATTTCATGACTCCTTAGGCTCTCTGTGGCGTGTTCTCGGGCTTGGGGTTACTGGGGAGCCCTGTGTGTCTCCTGTCGACACGAAGCCCACACTCGCAGGGCAGTTCTCCAGGCCCGGGATCACCTGCTCCCGCTGCCCGCTGGGGGCCAGGCTGCTGTGCCTGCCAGGCCTCTCGGGAACACTGGGGAGCCCCTTGTTTAACGCCGCTGGGCCACGGCTGTGAGCCCGCGAGAGCCGGCCGCTGGCCATCCAGGAGCTGCCTGGGGCAGTTGGTCCGTCGCTCTCCACGGGCGGCTGAAATGTAAGCTGGCTTTGGCCCTGTGGTCACTTGGCCGAGCGTCCGGCCAGGCCTGTCCACTTTGGCAGCAAGGCGGACAGGTCTGAGCACTGTTCCTGGCCGCTGCGAGGCAGGAAGGCGGCCTGATCCGGAGGCGTCGCCCGAGGAAGCGCCTGCGGGAAAGCTCAGGGAGCACGGGCCTCGGGCCAGAGTTGGGGCGCACTGGAGGCGGGAGCGCGACCCCGGCCAGCGAGGGACCCCCAGGCGCGGCAGACCTCTCCTGTCTCCTCCCTGCTCCCCACCCTGGCGAAGCCCCTGGGCGCGCCCACCCCGCAGTACCCGTTCTGTGTGCACACGTCAGTCTTTAAAAATCACATAAAGTGAACCCATCAACAGGTGAACGAGGCGCCCACTGACACGTCCCGGCTTGCTGCCGCGCCCGCCGCTGCTGCAGGCTGTGCCCCGAACCCCAAGGTCGCGCTCGCACAACACTGCCAGCAGCTTGGGCCAAACGCCCGCTGCGAGCGCCGCCGCCGCCGCCGCTGTCCTTGCCGTGGCCGCCGCGGCTCTGGGCTCACCTGCTCCCTCTCGCGGCTCGTGCCCGCCCCATGGAAACCTCGGGGCGGCGCCGCCGGAGCCTCCTC